TTATTAGAAAGACAGAATATATTTTTTATAAAAATGCATTAATGTGTTCTGATTAAAAGGCAAGATGATCTCCTTATTAGAAAACCAAGATGTATTCTTATTAGAAAACTTGGTGGTCTTCTCAGTAAAATATCAATTATGATATATTGGTATACGCTTTGTTATGGCCAGCATATAATGGTATCATTCCATTTTCCTTATTTTCAAATTTTTCCCTTTTTGGTAAATCTTCCATAAAAATGCTAAGCACGATAAGTCCGAAGGAGAGATCCATCGACCCTCTACTTCTGGTACCTCGGCGACACCGACTGACATTTTTATATTGTTATAGTACGTTTTTTATAATTTTTACGATATATTAAAGCGATCGATTTTCGTTAATGTCAGACTTTCAGCTGAAAAGAAAAAAAAATGGTTTAACACCTTAGTTTGACAGATGTCGAATTCCAGCCCCCATACTCTTGATACCACGACATGGATAAACCTTTACTTCAAATTATGCAGAAAATGAATAAGTAGACTTGTTCGTAATGCCGACTGATATTTTCTAACTAATTTTGTTGTGACTCAAAACATAGAATAGCTCTGGTTTCCGTTTCGAATGTTTCTTCGAAAAATACAAAAATCCTCATTTAATAACCCTTTATGTATTAAACTATGTTGTCCATGCGAATTTATTTAACTCGATATCAAATATCCCTCTATGCACGTGTTGTTTAATTTTAAATTTGCCCTGTTTCTATCGGCAGTGATTAATCGCCAAATGTCAATAATAAAAACGTCAACATCAATGCCAATAATTAATTACCTAAGACACTTGTTGCAGCAGTATCCAGAGCTATTTTTCATCTAAAATCTTTAAAGAAATGGCAATAATTGAGTTAATTGAAAACGCGGACCTTTAATGTTCTCTGAAAAGAATGTTTTTAAAATATAAAGCTCAGACGATACTCAGAAAATACATTTCAGGTATATGTTATGCAGCCAACCCCATTCATTCCGTTCGGAAATGTAGTCATTTATATATTCCATATAAGATCAGTTGCCAACAACACAAACACCAACATAATTTAATAATACAAGTTTTATGTGATATGTATATTATATTATACACTTTAATCTCCCCTGTTACGGCTGCAATTGTCTTGTTAAATATAAATTATTATCTAAGTCCCCTTTAGTAACAAAAAAAAAAAAAATTGAACAAGTCACTTTTATCGAACCATTTAACACCATTTTAATCTCTACGATCTAATCAATGGTTACACGCCCTCTTGTTTACACAAGACATTCATTGTTCATAAATATGCTACAATGAAAAAACAGACACCAGACATAAAATCGACAGAAACAAATAGTCGTCAGTCTGTAGTTGTATTTTAGATAGATATTATTTAATTAGTAAAACGTTTAAAAGATCATGCTTTTGGCAAAGTTGGTTATATCGATATCAAAGAATTATTTCAAATTGAATTTGTATTGAAGTTATTGATCACATAAATTTTAATTACACAAATATACGACTTCTTTCAAGCATTACACTGTGAAACAATTTTTTTTGTACAATTCATTATGGGGAAGCCTGGGCAAGTATATAATGAATCCAGAAGGATATATTCTGAAGAGGTTTTGTGCAGTCATGTTACTTTATTCAAATCAAACGAGGAATATTTTTTAAAACATATCCTCTTACTCTATCGAGTCCTTGATTGAATTAAAAACGTGTTTTGCATAATGAGCTATAGTTGTATATAATGACACAGCTTTTTAAAATTTTTGTGATTTTTTATAATAAACGAAACGAAAAATTTAAAAAAAAAGTTTCCAATGGTTCTTTGCAAAGTAAAATTTGGTAAGAGGTTTAATAGGGTTTCGTAGATACAAGATTTTGTGGGCAAGGATGGCATAAAAGTGGAAAAGAATGATGAAACATACGATATGTAATTCGTATCAACACTTGCTTCAAGTATTATATCTGGTATTTATATCGAAATAATTTTGAAAATTCATATGCGAATTATAATACAAATGTAGTGCCTGAAATAAACAAACAACCATTACAATGTAAAACTAACCACCATCAGTGGTGAGTCAGAGTGAGTGGAGAGACGGATATTGTTAGCAAAACAAAACACAGCCGAACAGTGAATGGTGGTGTTTTTTTCTTTTTGCCAAAAAAGAGAATACAAATGAGAGCGATAAAGTTCGATGAAGTAAGAACAATTTTTGTTTTAAGGGAACCCCACCCATTCTCGATTTTAATTTTTCAAGATTTTCAATGGGCTGGTAAATCAATACCAATGCTTGTTAAGGTTTGTAACTTTGCACATATATAATTGAAGATTTAAAATAGAAGAAAAATAATTTACACAAAATTTTTGTTATTGTTTTGTTGTTGTTTTTTGTAATTAAAGAAAAGTCTTCATTTTTGATGGCGGGCATGATAACTCCTCACTGGTACATCGGAATCCGAAAATTCCAACGGTGTTAGAAAGAGTACATGTCTGGCTCTCGTATGAACTAGGATTATTGACTTCGCTCCAAAATTAACAAAATGGTGGACCTTTGAAAAAATATTTTTGGAAAATCGCCGATTTTTTACCAAAACCCAAGTATAAAATAAGGAAGATTTTCACCGATTGGCTTTATCCTAGTTCATACGATAGGTATACACTCCCAGAGAAACGTGTAAAAATTTAGAATCGATTGGGTCATTAGTTTTTGAGTTATCGTGTCCGCCATTCACAAAAGAGAAAAACGCGTTTAAAGTTTGAGAAGCCCTTTAGCCGTCACTTGATGCTGACACAATAAATCGGCTATATCTTCAAGAGTTCTTGAGATTTTCACTTGAAATTTTGTAGAGACATTCTTTAGTTAGTGTAGATACGAATTATATCAACAAAATTTTTAACCCCGAGAATGGGGGGGCGGTCCCCTTAATGAAACGTTTACATATTTTTGAAAAATAGTGGCTTTCTTATGATTTTAAGGATTTTTATTCGTATTCTAAGTGAGGTACATGTACAATATTAAATACAATATATATTAATTATGAAAATATTTATTAAAATTTTTTCTTCTAAGGACACAATATAGTGGAAATATTTTTTAAAAAAATGTCCCCAATTAAATTTGACTGGATATAGCTCCCATATATATTTTTGTCCGATTTAATATAAATGATGCACGAAAATCACTATATTTTTTTCCGATTTATTTGAAATTGTTTATAGTGTGTTGAATTGAGTTTAGAATTCTAGTGAGTTTAGAATTCTTTCTTAAAATAAATTCGATATATATATATACATATGAACACTCGATACACAATTCGTGTAAATCGAAAGAAATAGATTTACACGAATTGCGTATCGCGTGTTCAGATTTAGGTATATATATTCGTCCGATTTTATCTAAATTATATTGTACACATTACTTGATGTTCGTGGCGGTGGTTCTTATTTTTTCTACCCTGAATGGCATGGAAAAATAGCGAACTCATTGATATATGTTGAGTTTTAAAGATATGCCTAACCTATTTTTTTCCTTTGATCCTGAAAAAAAGTGTACAACCGGTAGAATCTGTAGAACACTCCTAATCCATGCGAACAAAATAATATCAAATATATGTCTGTGCCCCCCAAAAGTCCTTGTCCCAAGTCAAGTCTATAGCAAAATTTCCGTCAATTTATTCTGTCATTTATTAAAAAAAAATAGAAAAAAAAAAACAAACGGAAATTATCTCAACTGTTGAGTGGGTGATTACGAATTACCCAGTCTAGAAAACGCATAGCCAGACAATTTCATAAAAGATGCCGGCTCATTTAGAAAATTTTACAATTTGTCTGTAGCAAAAAAGAAAAAAAAATCGTACGCAATGACAAATTTGTGTAAATTTAATGCTGTGGGAAAAAACCAAATTCACCTACATTAGAATCGGCTTGGCAAAGAAAATACTGAGTAATGTTTTGGCGGGCGGTTCTTTTGTGTGCATCGCATGTTCAGTAACAACTATTTTTACGAATCTGTGAAGAAAGGCAAATATTTTCAAATTTCAATGGCATTGCCATAGCTGGGCCATATAGTGAGGGGGGTAGGCCAAGAAATAAAACCCTTGATAAGTAACTGTGGGAGTTTTGAGGTAGCTCAAAGGCATGTCAATATTCATAATTAAAAAAAACATGGTAATTTACAAACATTCTACAACATGGATGATATGCAAATAAATTTATATTCGGAACAACCTAACTACTGTCCGACATCTGCCTATATACGCTAATGTCTGTGGTCCCTTCTGTTTCGCATTATTTCAATAATTTACTATGCAATTTAATTTACATAAAATATATATTTGAAATTATTTCGATATCGTATTGTTTTTATTGTAGCCAGTGTTTTGTTTTTGTTTTCTAAAAATTTGTTTGTGTGTGTGTTTGTTTTTTTAATTTAAAATATTTCTTTTCTTCTCTTTCTATCATTTCAGCAGTTCCTTGCTAAAAATAATTCAACAACAACAACAAAAATATTTTGATTTAGCAACAAAGAATTAAATTGGTATTACAAAACACTTGGACGACGGCGACGACAACAACGACGTCAATCACTGAGCGCAACGTTGAAATTCCTCGGTGACCATGTGGTGGCGAGTCAACTAAACTAGATGTGAAATTTGTAAGCCAAAAAAAAAGAAAAAAAAACAACACGAAAATCGAAACAAAGTGCAAAGAAAATGAAAACGCAAATACAAAAACAAAACAAGATCACAATAATGGATGAGCCATAATCGATGATTCTTTACAGAAAACAAAAATAAATTAAAAAAAAACAAATACAAAGAAAAAAATCAAAGTCAATTGAAAAACAAAAAAAAAAAACATTTGACATAGTGAAAAATAAAAACAGACAAAAATACTCAACTTGATCAATCTTGACTTAAATCAGATTGAAACACAACAATAAAGTGTTGCCAACGGCTTTTATTGAACCTTCAACCGAATTTTTGTTTTCTCAGCACCTAGTTGCCCAACCCAGCATTTTGAATGGTTTCTGAGGACAGCAACTGGAACAGCAGCGACACCATGTCCGATACGGACATGCACGATTCGAAAAATGGCGTTTGCGGTGGTGCTTCCAGCTCCAGCGGCAGCTCGGGCACCCCACGAACCAAGCCGAATTGTGCCCGCTGCCATAACCATGGCCTGAAGATCAAACTGAAGGGCCACAAACGTTATTGCAAATATCGCTTTTGCAATTGTGAAAAGTGCCGGCTGACCGCCGACCGGCAACGGGTCATGGCCCTGCAGACTGCACTGAGACGGGCCCAGCAACAGGACGAGGCACGCATATTGCAGATGCATGAAGTGCCACCGGTTGTACATCCACCAACGGCCCTGTTGAATGCCCATCACCATCATCATCATCCGTTGCCGCATCACATAACGCAACAGCTGCATCATCATCCCCATCATCCGCATCCACATTTGGTGGATGCTTCAGCAGTGGCTGCGGCGGCTGCTGCAGGAGTTGGTGTTGGCCCGGTACCCGCTCATCATATTGCTGCTGCTGCTATACCCACAATACGTTCTCCGCCACACAGTGATCACAGTCCAAATGGCGGAGGTGGTGGTGGAGGTTCGGGAGGAGGAGGCGGTGGGGGTGGTGGATCAGCTGGAGGATCAAATGGTGGCGGTGCTAGTGGCGGTAATGGTGGTGGCGGAAGCAGCGGCGTTGTTCCTAGTTCCTCCACCATGAATGGCATGGCCAGCAGCAACAGTGCTGCATCGAGTTCTACAGCACCACCACATCACACCCCTCCGGATCATACACATCATCACCACCACCATCATCATCCACATCCCCATTTGGTATCGGTGCCATCCACCGCACAATCTGTCGACAGTTCGTGTGATTCGTCATCACCGTCGCCGTCATCAACATCGGGTGTGGCAGTACCGGTATTGGTACAGAATCGTAAGCCGAATCCAGAACAACAACAGAATGGTGCTGATATGTCTATAGGTAAGTAGGGATTTGATTATTTGCTATAGGGAAATATTGATAAGTTGTGTCTATGTGGAAAAATAGCCATTTTGGAAAAATACATTCCTAAGGTCATGCGAATTTTTGTTTGCAAAAATAGGCAAGGGGTTTTGACGATTTTTTCTTGGATTTTTTTTTTTTTTTTTTTTTTTGAAAAACATTAGTATTTTATATCTGACATTATACTCAATAAAATATTATAGTAATATTATTATATAAATATTATATTAATAACTTATTTTATTTCCAACTATAACCTGTAATAAATACCAAAAATAGCCGATCGAGGAAGAAACAGAAATATCTAATGGAAAAATTTTCGACTATAATGGTTTTCTTGAAATCACACGATTTACAATTGTTCATGTTGGTAACGCCTTCGAAAGAAGAAGAAGATGAAGAAGGCCAAGAACAAAAAAAAAAAAAGAAAAACGTTAAAAAACGTGTGTAATTAAATCTGTTTAAGGTATTATTTGTCAATATAAACCAGTCATTCAGCGAACTAACAGCAGCCATACAGGTAGCATTTGCTGCTCAGCCAATCATTGTCTAGCATTGGTTCTCTTGTAGGGCTTCTTCTTAGTTCTGTACTTCATAATATAGACAGGTATGCCATTGCAATGGTAATTTGTTTTACAAAAAAAGTAGAACTAAAATTATGAATCTTAGAATGAACACAGCCAAATGGAATGACGTGTGAAATGCACACTAGAATATATTTATTAACTTATAACACCTTTATAAGTGGCTGTGAAATAGAACACAAATAGGTATGATGACCAGAGGTTTTTATATTGATATTACTTATAGAACGAACTTATATGGAAAATAGCCAATCCCGAATTTTTCTATAGAAAAAAGTGCAGTCCCGAGCTCCTGCGATTTTTTTCTATAGAAAAAAGTGCAGTCCCGAGGTCCTGCGATTTTTTTCTATAGAAAAAAGTGCAGTCCCGAGGTCCTGAGATTTTTTTCTATAGAAAAAGGCAGCTCCGAGGTGCTGCGATTTTTTTTCCTATTGAAAAAAAAATGAAAATCTTTCTCAAAATGTTAACACGAGCTTTCCTAATAGATGATATAAATATCTATTGATTGACTCACTCAAATGCGTCGAAGATTATTTACAGTTACGCCTCTATTGGGTTCTGACATGATTGGCTAAGTGTTTTTTGCGGTAAATGTTATTCAAACAGTTTAGAATAATGATAATCTTTACCTGTTTTTTTTTTTTTGCTTTCCCACATACATACAGGCGCTTAATAAATGTCAAATAATTATAGTTAGATTGTGAAAACATCAGAATGACATGTTAATGGGCCGCAGGCATGCAAGATTACATCAGCACAAAAAATGTGTAAATTCCATCAGTGGACTGTGAAATTATTTTGCTGTAAAATGTAATGTTAACGGGTTAAGTTGCCTGCTGCTATCTTTATTCAGTTCAACCAGAGATTGTTTTAACATTAAAGAGATATATATGTATGTACCTCAATATTAACTGCCACTACAGTCGTATGGGGGGTTACATTTTTATCGCCACGTGTTCAGTGAAGAGGAGAACAAAACATGAAAATATTATTCGAAAAGGGTATATATCCAGAGATTCGTTCGCTTCTTTAGCAAAATTAATTCTTGGAATATTCTAGTGGTTGTAGGGGAAGAAAAAAACTAATTTTCTGCTCACTGCCTGCCCTAGCTGAGCCTAAGGTTCTTCTGCTACAATTTAATAGTTTCGTAGTTGCGGAAATAAGGAGATTAACAGCATGATATGACATTTGCAACATATAGTATGCCGAAATACAGGTTTATTTAATTTTACAAGGGTGACATAAACGAAGAGGTTCTCACTGGTCTAATATTATACCAGTATATATATTTTTCTTAAAATATATATAAACATTTTCTGTAAAGAAAATGACAATCCTGTGGTCCTGTGATCCTTCGAATTTTTTTCTAGTTTTTATTGAAAACATGTCAAAACTATGTTAAGTTAGGCCCGGTCGAACTTGTTATAAAATTAATGGGGGAAAACTTCTGTTATGATAAGACTTTGAACATACCGAAAAATACGTGAGAAAAATATTCTCAAAATATGTAATAGTGGGCTAACGTTTTATGGGGCTACAATAAAACGGAGATCAATATTGATATTTTTTGGTAGTGAGATTTGACAGCCAATGAGAATACAAAATAGCATTTTACAGTTATATGGGGGCTACATCAAAGCGAGAACCGATGTATTTCATTTGCAATACCCAACATCCTAGGAGTACTAGCAATGTCTGTGCAAAATTTCAGAGCTCTATCTTAAATATAGTGATGTCTATCGTGATTTCAATAGACGGATATACAGACGGACATGCGTAAATCGACATAGAATTTTATTCGAAGAATGACAAATTTAATATACACTTCACCTTTTGGTGGAGGGTATAAAAACTGTGGCCCGTCATTTTTTTCTACAGAGAAACAGAACAATTGTGGCCCAAACCTATCGAAAAAGCAGTATTGTGGTTCTGCGATACATTCTAGTGGTTCTATTATAGGTAGAAAATCGTATGAACAGAAAATATTCCAGTTTTGAAGATTTTTTCTACAGCAAAATATCATTCGTAATTGAGAAATTAATTTACATTGATTCGGACCCTTTGATTTTATTTTAATACACTCGAATTATGGCTACTGACCCCAAGAGACTTTATATCAAAGGGATACTGGTTCACTCCTTCTACTAACTACCCACACAATGGTAAAAAATTTGCTGAAAATGTAATTATGGTACCACACGAACGAACTATCTGATTTGGCTCAATCTTTACACAAACTTAAACCAGGTCTAAAGATAAGGTCATCTGGTACCGATTTTGAACCAAACTTTACAAATTACAATTCAAATACTTCCCTCACAAAGGGAAACAGTTTTCAACATTAGTTTTTTTTAACTTTTTTTATAAATCTATTGCATAGCGTAATCGTTATACCAAACCTAGATCGAGTTCGAAAATTTGAATCCATAGAACAAAATGTCGATCCTTTAACCCAACATCGATCCTTCTTACCTAAAAAATCAATCCTTAGATGTTATCCTTTTCATACGAACTAGAGTATCTGATTACAGGAAGGAACAAATTTATCTTTCTTTACGGAAGTCTAGGTAATTTTCGTTGTTTTTGTTTTTTTTTTGCCCTCTTAACCCTTTGGTTTAGCAACTCCGACAGATGTTACGTCTCGACTTAATACATTTGTATTCCAGGTTGTAACTGCTTTCCATTTTGTTGTTTTACCCAGCCAATGAACATAGAATATTTTATGCAAATCATTAAAACAGAACATAGCTCCAGATTTTTTATGTGAATTTTTGCAAATTTTGCAATGTCACAGCGGGGACTTATAACTTGTTGAGCAAAAAATGTGAACCAAAACATGTTGGGTACAAATCCTTTAATTAGTATGGGAATATACATAATTTATATGGACAGAAAACCCGTAATGACATGGTTATTTTTAACAGGGTATTTATACATTTTAATTTTTGTTTGTTTCGTTTGGTTAAAAAATCATCATACCGAAAATCATTCTTTTTAATGTCTTCATAGATGACATAGAAGGATTTTATAATTAAGTTGTATTGAGAGTTCCTCATAATGCTTACAAAACCTAGTCTTTTTAGATATTTTTAGCTGTAATCTGGCATTCCGGTTTCTTGGGTGTCAGAAACACATTTGCAGCGAATATAGGCGCATGTTTCGATATAACATTCAAGGTGCACGTTTCGTTATAACATCCATATACAGTACATGTCCCCAGTTTTGGCATTTTAATGGCCACAAATGAATTTGCCAACCAAAGGAGCTAAAGATCAGGAAGATCTAAAATTCGACCATAAAACTGGATTCAAAAATAAGCTCGATGTTTGGGTGCCACACCAATTAACAGAAAAAATAGGAAGGATCGAATTTCCATCTGCAAGGGTTTGGCCAAACGGAATGAGATAGACCAATTTCTTAAACGGATGGTGACTGCAGATGAAAAATGGCTCACATACGATAACCCAGTGCGAATACGATCGCTGTCAAAGAGTGGTGAAGCACCTCAAACGGTGGCTAAACCAAGACTAACGACCAGGAAAGTTCTGCTATGCATTTTGTGGGACTGGAAGGGGATTATTTATTATGAGTTGCTTCCATATGTCCAAATGCAAAATTCTGATCTCTACTGTCAAAAACTGGAGAGGTGTCGTGTTCCATCAGGACAACGCAAGGCCACACACATCTACAGTGACTCGACAGAAACTTTGGGAGCATGGTTGGGAAGTTTTAATGCATTCGCTATAAAGTCCGGACTTGGCACCAAGCAATTATCATATTTTTTTGCATTTGCAAAAATTTCTTTAATAATAAAGAAAAAGGATTGTGAAAATCGACTACTAGATTTTTTTTTTGCAAATAGAGAGAAGGGCTTTTATGAGAGACGCATTATGAACTTACCTTTAATATGGCAACAAATCATACAACAAAATGGTGCATATTTGGCGCAAATCGGACATTCCAAATCATAAAGTCCTATAGTTCATATAAAAATAATGGATTTTTTTTCTAACCCGGGCCGAACTTTGGATACCCACCACCATAGTTATACTGAGAGATACCTGAAATGAAAATATAGGGAAAATACCAAAAAGTGTACCTATACCGACATTTCTACAAACCCATTATGTAAACCATAATACAAATTTCAGCAATTTCTAAGGGATAATTATACCCTCAGCCTTACGGCTAATTTTCACCGTGTCAAAGTGTATACACCCTATACTTTGACATGGTGAAAATGTGCCTCATAGAAATATTGGTTCTAGACCCCATGTTTCTTTGGACCAAATTCGTTTCAGAAAATGTTGTTTTCATCCAAACTTTGCCCATCCTAGTATTTCTTCCAAACTTAAATCTGTTAACTATTTTAATATAAAAAAGGGGGTTATATGT